GGAAGTTTATCTACTTTGAATAGACAGGTGCATTACTATACATAAAACTAAATTTATATCTAATTGTTTACATACGTACATATATTTTAATTTGAATATTTTCAGTATATAATGACTTTATATTGATAACATCAAAATATATACAGTGTCGCGGCGAACAATTGCATACCGTTCCAATGAGAGTTGTAAGTTTGTAATATATTCACATATACAAAATCAATTTATATGCATATCTTAACTAGCTAGCTTATAATAAATGTTTAATGCATTTTAGAAATTTTGATTTTCAATATTCATATACTTGTATGGGGGGTAACATATAAATCTTTAGATCAGTTCTTTTTATATTGAACATATAATAGCGTTTTGTCGTTTTTTTCAAATATCATAAATATTTGCTTAAATAAGTATATGATTTTTTTCGAAAAGAGATTAACTATCCATGGTTTTGGAGAGAACATATACATTTTTTGGTGCAAACACATATATCATTTATATTTTGTAACTAACATCTAATTCAGTTAAACATATATTGGAATTTTTAGGGTCGTAAGCCAATGGGGGACGATTCATCAGAGGGATCTTCGAGCTCATCTAGCGATGATACGAACCATAGCGATGATACAAACCATACGGTTCGTTACGAACTCATATTATTTATTGAAATTGTACGTTATATTTCAGTCTGGTTTCGTATGGGATTAAAACATTGTTATATGATATTTCATATCCCATGCATAAGAGATTGGATAATATTCTCACTTTTTTTAGTTTCTTTTTAATCAGGCTATTCATTCTAGATATTTTTTTACTTTAAAACATAGATTTGACTGAGATAGACATGTTAAAACATCTCCATATGGTTTTTTGCCACGACAGACTCAGTTTTTTTTCTCTATTTTTGCTTTCAAAACTTCTAAAAAAATATGCAATTCTTTGTAAAAGATTTGTTGAATATAACTAGGGGGTTTCAGAAATATCACATTACACAAAAGATTGAAAAAAATTCTTGTATTTTATGCAACAAAATAATTAATCAGCAAGAAAGTTCTCTTGAATTGTTTCAAAACCAAGTTCTTTAATTTACCCTTGTGTCTGAAAAAAATATATTTAATTTTGATTTATTGGACTTTAATTCACAATTACTAATGAATAACTTTTTAAT